AACCCTGTCTCAGAAAACCAAAATAATAATAATAATTTTTTGTCAGTTCCATGTATGTAATCTATTCTGATTTTATTCACCATCTCATTACCTCCTCTCCTGTCCCTTCCTTTCATGTCTCCTTATCTTCCTTCCTTTCTTCCTTCCTTTTTTCCTTCCCTCCCTCCTCCTTCCTTTCTTCTTTCTCTCCCTCCTTCCTTCCTTTTCTCCCTCCTGCCTTCCTTGCTTTTTCCTTTCTTTCTTTCTTTCTTTCTTTTTTTTTTTTTTTTTGAGACAGGTTCTCACTAGGTAGCCCTGGCTGGCCTGGAACTCACTATGCAAACCAGACTATCTTGGCATTCACAGAAATCCACCTACTTCTGCCTCCTAAATACTGGGATTAAAAATGTACACCACCATGCCCGGATTTTTTTTTTGTCACCAACTGAGTTTAATTAAGGTTGTTTTCATGAGTGGGAGTGTGGAATTTACCAAGTTTGTGTATTTGTTTGCTTTTTAGACTATGTTTCACGCAGTCCAGGCTGGCCTCAATTCCTGATCCGCCAGCCTCTGGCTCACGGGTGCTGGGATTATAGACGTGTATTAACATGTCTGTTCTATGTAGCACTAGGGATCAAACCCAGAGCCTGCAGCATGCTAAGCAAGCACTCCTCCAACAACTCAATTGTGGGTTTCGTTTGCTTGCGATAGAGTCTCATTCTGTAGCCTCCATGGTTGGTCTAGAACTTTCTAAGTTGACCAGCCAAGGCTTGAATTTATTGGGATCCGCTTGCATCTGCCCCTTGAGTGCTGGGAAAGACAGGTATGCACTACTAAGCCCAACTTTTTATTTATGTTTATACATAAAACTTTTTATTTTGTATTTTAAATTCACTAGTTCTTTTTTGACTGAGATTTTATTCATGAAATATTTTATTTATTTATTTATCTATTTATTAAAAATTTCTACCTCCTCCCTTCCTCCCATTTCCCTCCCACTCCTCCTCCCTCTCCAGTCCTAAGAGAAGTCAGGGTGCCCTGCCCTGTGGGAAGTCCAAGGCCCTCCCTGCTCCATCCAGGTCTAGGAAGGTGAGCATCCAAACAGACTAGGATCCCAAAAAGCCAGTACATGCAGTAGAATCAAAATCCAGTGCCATTATCATTGACTTCTCAGTCAGCCCTCATTGTCAACCACATTCAGAGTCCCGTCTGATCACATGCTCGTTCAGTCCCAGTCTAGCTGGCTTTGGTGAGCTCCCATTAGATCAGCCCTACCATCTCAGTGGGTGGGCGCACCCCTTGCGATACTGACTTCCTTGCTCATGTTCTCCCTCCTTCTGCTCTTCATCTGGACCTTGGGAGCTCAGTCCAGTGCTCCAATGTGGGTCTCTGTCTCTATCTCCATCCATCGCCAGATGAAGGTTCTATGGTGATATGCAAGATATTCATCAGTGTGGCTATGGGAGAAGGTCAGTTCAGGTACTCTCTCCTCTGCTGCCCGAGGACTTAGCTGGGGACATCCCCTTGGAGTTCTATTCAGCGGTAAAAAACAATGACATCTTGAATTTTGCATGCAAATGGATGGAAATAGAAAACACTTGACTAAGTGAGATAACCCAGACCCAAAAAGATGAATATGGTATGTACTCACTCATTAGTGGATTCTAGCCATAAACAAAGGACATTGAGCCTATAGTTCGTGATCCTAGAGAAGCTAAATAAGAAGGTGAACCCCCCAAAAAACATATATAGATGCTTCTGGAAATTGGCACTATTAGGAGGCATGGCTTTGTTGGAGTAGGTGTGGTCTTGTTAGAGGAAGTGTGTCACTGCGGGGGGAGGGGCTTTGAGGTTCCCTATGCTTAGGAAGCTGCCCAGTGTCTCAGTTCATTTCCTGTCCCTGCAAGATCTAGGACTCTCAGCTGCTCCTCCAGCACCACCTCTGCCTGTCCACCGCCATGCTCCCCTTCATGATGATAACGGACTGAACCTCTGAAACTGTAAACGAGCCACTACAATGAAATATTTTTTTATAGAAGTTTCTGTGGTCATGGTGTCTTTTCGCAACACCACTATCAGGGAGACACATCTTTTTTTAAAGATTTATTTACTTATTTATTATGTACACAGTATTCAGCCTCCATGTATGCCTGCAGGCCAGAAGAGGGCACTAGATCTCATTACAGATGGTTCTGAGCCACCATGTGGTTGCTGGGAATTGAACTCAGGACCTCTGGAAGAGCAAGCAGTGCTCTTAACCTCTGAGTCATCTCTCCAGCCCCCGAGACACAGGTTTTATGTGTTTCATGTTGAAATCAGGAAAAGAGAAAATTAAAAGCCGCTCTGAGTCTGTTGTCAGTCTGTCTGTGTATGCGCTGTGCCGTTTTGAGGCTCCCTACCAGAGATTGCCAGTCTTCCGCTTTATCTGTCTCCAAAAGACACTGAGAACCTTTCTCATTTCATCTAAAGGTCTAGGGCAAAACCTTAGGACAAGGAGACGGAAGGATGGACAGGAATCAGACGGGGGAGAACAGATTTCCAGTATGGGGCAAAGGTGAGGACGGAGCTGGCTCCAGGAAGAATTGGTAAATATTTGTAAATACCAGAACCTTCATTTTCTAAACCATAGCTTTCTGGCTTTCTAACGATGTGGAGAAGATGGGATTAAGACAACACTCACTCAGATTAGGAAGACACCAAAGCAAATGGGATATTTATAATGTCAACTCCTTCCAGTTTTCCCTCTAAACCTAGTGAGATCTCCCATAACTTTTATTTTCTCAACGTGTATTTTTTTCCTAGACAAGGTCTCTCTGTATAGCCTTGGTTGTCCTAGAATTCACTCTGTAGACCGGGCTGGCCTCGAATTCACAGAGATCTGCGTGCCTCTGCCTCCTGAGTGCTGAGATTAAAAGCCTCACCGTTAGTGGTCCTCCTGGCTGATCTCACGACTTTTAAAAAGATGGTTGAAAAGGCTGGAGAGATGGGTCATTGGTTAAGAGCACTTGCTGCTATGCACAAGACCAAGGTTCAGTTCCCAATACCCACAGAGCAGCCTATGAAGTCTGTAACTCCAGCTCCAGGGAACCCAACACCCTCTTCCAGCCTTCTTGGGCACTGTACACATCGTGTACACTTACATACACACGCATAAAATAAAAACAAGCCAGGCGGTGGTGGCGCATACCTTTAATCCCGGCACTTGGGAGGCAGAGGCAGGCAGATCGCTGTGAGTTCGAGACTAGCCTGGTCTACAAGAGCTAATTCCAGGACAGGCTCCAAAGCTACAGAGAAACCCTGTCTTGGAAACAAAACAAAACAAAGCAGGTGACCTTATTGGAGGATAAGATCGATGCCCTCATTAAAGCACCTGGTTTTGCTGTTGAACCTTTCTGTCCCTGCTATTTGCAAAGGCCCTGGCCAATGTCAACATCTGAGGCCGTATCTGCACTGTAGGGACGGATGGACCTGTTCTAGCCGTCAGTCCTGGCCCTTCCACTGCAGTGACTACAAATATCTCCTCTCTGCACGGGACAGAGAACTAGACAAAAGAGGAGGAGCCACCAAGCCTACCCCAGTGGTCTCACTTCTCCATGACCGGACTACATGGTAATCTGGGCCTCTATAAATGGGTGGGCACAAGACAGGGAGGTTTCTGTGACACAGAGATACCAGAGACCAAGGAAAAATCGCATTGCATTTCCCTTATTCTACCCTTTACTAAAAGAACAAAAGGTTGGAGGTAGGTGATAGAGAAGGGGGCCCCCTGAGTCTTGGGCTCCCTTAAAACCATAATTTCAGTGAGATGGTTTGCATGTTTTGGGGTTCTCCCTTTCCCAGGGTACTCTGCTCCAGACATGCATCATGTCCGACTCATCGTGATGCCAATCCCGCTGCTCTGCTGTCTCCTGCTGTGTCCCGCGGATGCCATGCCACACCCAGAGCCAACCGGTCCCCCTACAATGCTCTCTCCCTCGGCGTCCTCACACCCCTTGTCCTGCAGGGCTCTGCTCCCAAAGTCCCTGCCTGGCTTCTCTCATCTGCCACCTCTCCCCCAGTTCCTGGTCGGCCTGGCTCTGAGAAACGCTCTGGAGGAAGCTGGCTGCCAGGCCGACGTCTGGGCTCTGCAGCTTCAGCTGTACGGGCTGGGAGGTGTGGAGGCTACCCAGACCCTCATCCACCATCTTCAAGAGCTCCAGCAAGGCGGACACGAGGACCGGCAAGTGTCAATGGACGCCCTGACCTCCGCTCTGCAGCGCTCAGCCTGGGAGCAGCCAGGTCCAAACAGGGTCCGTCGCTGGCTTTCCTACTCCGACTGTGACAACGAGCAGGAGCAGAGCGTGCACAACGTGGTCGGGCAGCTGCCGGCAGTGGGGGCCTACTACAATCTAGGCACAGCTTTGTATTATGCCTTCCAGAGTTGCTCTGACAAGGCCAAGGAGCGAGGCAAAGATGGGGCCATAGATCTGGGATATGACCTTCTGATGACCATGGCGGGTCTGTCAGGGGGGCCAGCTGGGGTGGTCATCAGTGCTGCTCTTAGGCCAGCAATGAAGGCTGGGGTTCAGCGGCTGATCCAATATTATTATGATGAGAAAGAGGTGAGCGTCCCTTAGCCAGAGACCAGGAAGGATGGACCCTCACACGACCTGGAGGAAACAGCCGTGGCCAGTTTTGTGTCAGAAGCTGAAAGTCCATCTTCCTACTGGGGCCAACCTTAGTCAAGAATTATGGTGTCTTAGCATACAAGAGATCGTAGCAGAGCAAATTCTGGCAAGAGAAGGATGGATGGATGGAAGGGTGTGGGGTCCTGTCATCACTTGCCGGTCATTTCTTTCTTGAAACTCAGCTTTTACATTCCTAATGAGGGACTAGTGAGTTTTCACCTGAGCAAGTGGTTTTAGAAATAATTAAAAACTGAGAGCCTGAATTTATAGTATGTATGATTATATCCTCAAAACTACTTACCTCGGCTCTTCCCTCCCTATCCTAAAGTGTTGAAATGCAAGTCCCACCCCTTCTATTGAGTCCTGGGCGCCTCTGCAGGCTATGGTTTCGTTTCCTTTCCCTGGCGGTGCTGATTCAGAAAAGTCAGCTGCTTGAATTCTTGGGTACGACACTAACTGGGCTCCGCCCATCTCGGTCGAGGGGCGGGCGCTAAGGGGAGCCTCTCCGCCAGTCACTGAAGTCGGCGCTGAGGTTCCGAACGGCTAGTCCAGCCCGGAAGAGGGCGGGGTTTTTGGCTCCACCAATGAGGCACGTGGGGAGGGCGTGGCTGAGCTCGGGTCGCCTCGGAGAGCCCGGAACCGCAGGTGTGCAGCGCCGGTGACCCGTTCCGCCGCTCACGATCTGGGTCCGCCGGAGTCGGGGGCGGGGTGGAAACGGTTCTTGAGCCGCCCGGAGGATTGCAAGTTGCCGCGGGAGCCACTGGGAGGAGCGGCCCTGGATCCTCAGAAGGTACAGGCCCCGAGAGGTGTGCGGAGCAGGGAGGCGCGAGTTCGTTCCCGGGACGGGCTGCTGCCCCCCGGTGATGCCCCTGCGGAGAAGGCTTCTGCTCTCTGGCAGTAGCTGAAGCTCTGGTGTGTCCAGAATGTCACACCCCCGCTTAACTCTACTTCTCAACCCTGTCGACTTCCTTCCAAAACTCCTCCGCAACCCCTGAAGCCTGGCATGTAGCATTTGTTCCTTGTCATAAGCCAAAACTTTAACCTCTGCTCTGCGTTATCTATCGATCCGTTTGTTTATTATTTAATTTGTAAAGGTGTTTTATCTGTGTACCACATGCAGGCAGTTATTGTGTTGGTCAGAAGAGGTCGTCAGATCTGAGACTGGAGTGGTGGCCATGTGGGTGCTGGGAATCGAACCCAGGGTCCTCTGGAAGAGCAGCCAGTGCTCTTAACCGCTGAGCCATCATCTTGCCAGCCCCTTTGCATAATTTTTGATCCTTACTTAACTAAATAAACAAACAAAAACACAGGCATCCTTATTTATGTGTGTATATATGCGCATATATAAACAAACAATATGCATATGCATATATGTTTTAGATATGTAAGTATAAGGTCCTGGAAGGTGAAACTGTTTATAAACACAAAGTCTAATTTATTTTAGAAAATCTTACTTAGTGCAAAACTGATGTTTGAGAGAGTGAAGCATTTTGTTGCAGCCCCTATAACTGCAGTAGAAGACTTTCTTGTTCGAGGCAGGGTTTCTCTGTGCAGCCCTGCCTGTCCTGAAACTTTCTATGCAGAACAGGCTGGGCCTCTGCCTCCCAAGTGCTGGGATTCATGGTGTGCGCCACCACGCCCAGCAACTCCTTCCTTACTTCCTTCCTTCTCTCTCTCTCTCTCTCTCTCTCTCCCTCCCTCCCTCCCTTCCTTCTTTCTTTCTATGCTGTGTATCTTTTATATGATGTATCTTTTTAAACAAATAATCTGCTTATTTTTACTTTATTTGTATTGGTGTTTTGCCTGCATGTATGTCTGTGTGAGGTTGTCAGATCTTAGAGTTACAGACTGTTGTGAGCTGCCATGTGAGTGCTAGGGCTTGAACCCGGGTCCTCTGGGACAGCAGGCAGTGCCAACTCTCTAGTCCCTACACCATGTACCTTGACCCTTTGATTTCCCCTTCCCTTAGCATCCACCCTCAGCCCCAGCACTCCCAATAAAACAAAATTTAAGAGAAAAAAGGGAAAAGAAAAAAGGTGAAGAATTTTAAAATCTCATCACGGAAGCTGCCGTGTCACGCAGTAAACCCCGTTGTTCATGGATCTCTACTTGCATGTATTTGTTGCAAAAAGCCGTCGGTCTGGTCCGGGGCCTCTGGTTTCTACTAGACGTCGATGCTGGACCCTCGGTGGGCCTCTTCTTGGCTGTCCTTTTGTTGCCCTGTGTTGTGGGGATCATGCAGCTTTAGAACTTTTGTTTCTTATGTTTTGGTTTCTTATTTAAATCTCAGTATTCATGCATTCCCTTGCTTTGATACCAGCCCTTTAATTCCTGAAGAACTGGGATCTTGTCCTTAAAATGAAGTTCTTGTTTCATAAAAGCAATACAGGGGCTGGGGAGATGGCTCAGTGGTTAAGAGCACTGACTTTTCTTCCAGAGGTTCAATTCCCAGCACCCACATGGCAGCTCACACCTGTCTGGAACTCCAGTTTCAGGGGATCAAACACTATGCAAACATACAAGCAAAACACCAATGAACTTGGCGGTGGTGGCGCACATCTTTAATCCCAGCACTCGGGAGGCAGAGTCAGGGACTGTGAGTTTGAGGCCAGCCTGGTCTACACAGTGAGTGCCAGTACAGCCAGGCCTACACAGAGAAGTCTCATAATTTTAAAACAAAACAAAAACAGAAAAGCAACACAGTATATAGTTTTAAGGAATCAAATACCATCTGAGATTTAGCTCAGCTAGAGCATTCCCAGGGCACAGAGAGGTCCTGTGTTTGAGCTCCAGCAAGGGTTGGGATCAAGGATTATTAGTAGTAAGCTAAAATGAAAAATTGGCTCTGTGGGGTGGAGAGATGGCTCGGTGGTTAAGAGAGCTCACTGCTCTTGCAGAGGACTGGGGTTTGTTTCTCAGCACCCAAACCTGGAGACTCAGTACACCCTGAAACTCAAACTCCAGAGAATCTAAAGCCCTGGTCCATTCCACCCCAGCTCTGCACACCATTATACACAAACAAATACTTTTTTGTTTGTTTGTTTTTAAGAAAAATTTGATTTCCTGCCCAATCTCTTCCCTTCTCCATTCTACTCTCAGAGGAAGAAAGACAGTCACGGACTCTAGATGTCTTTGTTTGCTCTGTAGTAGAGTCGTGTGACTTCAAAGAACATGCGTGTGCTTGTTTCTCCTGATCTTCCAGGTTTCAGGTGCAATAAAAGGTTTTTTCTTTACATTTATTCTCTCATACAAGATATCCCAACTGTAGCCTCCCTTTCCTTCCCTCCTCCCATCCGTCCCCAACCCTCTCCCCCACATCCTCTGCTCCTCTGTTTCCCGTCAGGAAAGAGCAGGCCTTCCAGTCCACTGAGCACTGCCTAACAAGATGCAGAAGACTAACCGCGAACCCTCATGTTAAGGCTGGCTGAGGCAGCCTAGCAGAGACAAGCCAGTAGGCGGAAAAGGGTCCCAAGAGCAGGCAAGAGTCAGAGCTACCCCTACTCCGACTGCTAGGAGTCCCACAAAAACCCCAAGCTAAGCAACCACAGCTTGTATGCAGAGGACTTAGCGCAGACCCTTGCAGGCTCCATGATTGCTTCTTGAGTCTCTGTGAGCCCCTGTGACTCCCTACTTAGTTAATTCTGTGGGCCTGTCCTTAGCCCCTCTAGCTCCTACAATCCTTTCTTCCCCTCTTCTTCAGGGTTTCCTGAGCTCCGACTGAAAAAGAAAATCAACAAAATGATTCCTAGTGATATTCTGTTCTGCTCATAGCCGTTTGTCATCAGAGAGGCTTCCTCAGGCAGCTGAGGGGAGCAGATGAATTCCCATAATAGATAAGAGATGGCGTTGGGAAGGGAAAATGTGCCGAGATGCACGCGGCACTGCCTGCTTCATGTGGGGAAAACAGTTTTGTGTGAAATTTCCGGGTCTTTCCAAATTTGACAGTTCTCCCAAAGACGAGGAATTGACAGTCATAAAAATGCTCCAGTCTTAGAGATTGAATGACTGGCACTTAAGCCACCTTAAACAGAGGTCCTTTCGTAGGTGGTGGGCAGTTGGTAAGGCATGTTTCCTTCGCTGACCCTAAATAAAACTCCAGGGCCAGCAAAAGTAATGAGTACTCAAGACCAACATTGATCTTTATTGCTTCTCCTTCATTCCTGAATAAACAAACACAAACTCACAAAGATCAAGCAAATTAAGTGGATGAGGTAGATGGCATTAGATTGTGGGAATATTATTTGTTAGGTTGGATAATGTGTACGTAAGCAACCCTCTCTTTTTTAAATATTTATTTATTATGTATACAATATTCTGTCTGCGTGTATGCCTGCAGGCCAGAAGAGGGCACCAGACCTCATTACAGATGGTTGTGATCCACCATGTGGTTGCTGGGAATTTAACTCAGGACCTTTGGAAGAGCAGGCAATGCCCTTAACCTCTGAGCCATCTCTCCAACCTCCTCTCTCTATTTTTTTTTTTGAGGCAGAATTTCATGTAGTCCAGTATAGGTAGAGTTTTTCTGTCCCGCCAGTCAGTTCTGACCCACTAGCCAGCTCCCCAAATAGCCACACAGAGACTTATTAATTATAAATGCTCGGCTGATAGCTTAGGCTTGTTATTAACTGACGCTTACATTTTAAATTCATCCATTTCTATTCCATTTCCTACAAGCTTTGTAGGAAAAGGCCTGTTTATTTATGGCTTGTTACCTCATTTTGTACACGTCCTCCTTCCTCTATGTCTGACTGGTAACTCCCGAGATCCCACCCTTCTTCCCAGCGGCCTCCTAGTCTGGCTCTCCTGCCCAATCTCTTTCTGCCCAGCTATAGGCCAGTCAGCTCTTTATGAACCAATGGGAGTAATACATATTTATAATGTACAAAGTCGGCTCCACAGCAGTCCAGCCTGACCTAAATATACTATGTAGCTGAGCCTGCCCTCCATACTCCTGCCTCCAGCTGTCAAGTGCTGTTATTAACAGGCATGTGCCACCATGCCAGCTCTTCCTTCTACTTTTGTGTGTTTGAAAGTTACCAGTAAAGCAAAAAAAGTACCACATATTGCAACTATTGAATAGTATTCCCCGGAAAAACCGCAGCAAACTGCACCAAGAATTACATCTAAAGAGAAAGGATGGACCCAAGATTGAGAGGAGAAGCAACGTAAACTAGTCTTTTCTGTATCTTATTTTATGTGTATGAGTTTTGCCTACATGGATGTAGACATACCACTTAAGTGCCTGATGACCTCAGAGGTCAGCAAAGGGCGTCAGATCCCCTGGTTGTCAGTCATCATGAGGGTGCTAGGAATCAAAAGCTGGTCCTCTAGAAGAGCAAGAAGTGCTCTTAAACACTGAGCCAACTCCCCAGCCCCTTTTCTGTATCTTTTAATTGTATAATTAAAATATTTTAAATTAGAACAAAAATCTCATAGCCAGACTTGATGACTCATGCCTACATCTGAACTCTTAAGAGGCTGACGTGGGATTGTTGTGACTTAGGCCAGCTGGGTTACTGAGTGAGACCCTGGGTTTGTTTTTCTAAACAGGGTTTTCTCTATGTAGCCCTGGCTGTTCTGGGACTGACTTTGTAGATGAGGCTGGCCTCGAACTCACAGAGATCCTCCTGCCCCTGCCTCCTGAGTGCTGGGATTAAAGGCGTGCACCCCCACGAATGGCCTGTTTGCTTGTTTTTTGTGAATCGTCAGACTCTGGATGATTTGGTTCCGTAGAATGTGCAGCTGAGAGCTGATATCCTTTCCACACAGAGTCCAGATGGCGCAGTGGGAGATGCTGCAGAATCTTGACAGCCCATTTCTGGACCAGTTGCACCAGCTCTACTCTCAAGTCCTCCTGCCAATGGATGTTCGACAGCACCTGGCTGCCTGGATCGAAGACCAGAACTGGTGAGGGCTTCGGGAGTTGAGCTGGTTTCTTTCCTCTGAGCCTTCAGGGTCCCAGAGACTTCCCGGGAGGGGCGGGCGATCTCACAGCAGCTGAGATCCTAATCCTTGTCATGCCTGGTCCTCAGGAGGGAAGCCGTGCTAGGCAACGATCACTCCAAGGCCAACATGCTGTACTTCAACATCTTGGAGCAGCTGAAGCAGTGGGACCACAGCTCGGATCCTGATTGCTTTTTATTGCAGCATAACTTGCGAAAATTCAACCGGGACATCCAGGTACTTAGGAGAGTTGGAACTAACAGGGTGGGACCAGCGTCTGAGAATCGGGTAAGGGCTGGGGTACAGAATGTTCCTAAAGATGCAAAGGGAGGCAGACCTGGGGACCGGAAGACAGAGTCTGGACTTGGAGTGCTACTGACAGATTAAAGGACTGATACGGGTAGATACAGAGTCTAGACAGAGGTAGGAAGTGGCCAGGGACCCCGAAGGAGGGACAGTACTAGGGCCACCAAGAGCAGGGTCTGGAATGGCAGGTGGGTAAGGTAGCTGAATGGATCAATTCGTGTGTGTTTCTTGCTTAGACTTTACCCAATGGTCCTACCCAGTTGGCTGAGATGATCTTTAACCTTCTCCTGGAAGAGAAGAGAATTCTGAATCAGGCTCAAAGGGCTCAGGAGGTAAGGACAGCGTGGTGGCAATGTTGAAAGCTGGGACGGAAGGACACCACGGAAAGGACGCAGGGACCTCGTCTCCAACCAGGATCTCTCCACATCCTGCAGTAAAATTTCAAGTCCTGATTTTAGGGATGAAAAGTCAACATTCATTCTGGGAGGGGGAAGGGAGCGCACGCCTTTAACCTCAGTGCTCAGGAGGCAGAGGCAGGCATATCTATGAGTTCGAGGTCAGTCTGGTTTATAGAGCAAGTTCCTGGACAGCCAGGGCAGCATAGTGAAACCTTGTCTTGGAAAAGAAAGCCAGAGTTGGAACATGTTGAGAGCCTCTTGTTTCAGGTGCAAGCTGGCCCAGCTCCCGAAGCCGCGGCGAGAAGCCAGCAGCTGGAGATTGAAACCCGAATCCTGGATTTACAGGCTGTGGTTGAGGTTGGTGGTTGTGGCAATTGTCGGGTGGAGAGGATTCAGTTCTTCTGCCCCTTCAGAAGCCGCCTTACTGGGGTTGCATCTTCTCTACAGACGTTTGTGAAATCCGTCAGGCAACTGAAAGACCTGCACGATGTCTTCAGCTTCCGATACACGATTCTCACTCAGAGTAGGTCCTCTCGAAGTGGGAGAAGGACAGGGGTCATCTTGGGGACCTAGTGTGGATGATGACAGAAGCCGAACGCTCCAGCGAGCAGCAGTCACCTTGAGTGACTGCGCATATGTGGCGTCGGTAGTCCCGTGGATACGCAGGACAGTGGCGCCAGGCTGTGCTGTGGAGGTTGGAATAGCGAGGCAGCTGAGGAGCCGCTAGGAAATGATGGCGGGCTTATGTCGGAACTGCCTTAGCAGGCTGAGCGGGCTTCTGGGCCATTCAGAGTTTGCCTGTGAGACCCCAGGTGCCTGTACTTTGCCTGGTTCTCCCTTCCTCTCCCACCACCCATCATTCCCTGTTCCTGACTGAGACCCTGGCTAAGGAAGAGCAGAGGAACCCGCGAGCTGACTCTTGGGTTTGCCTTTCAGAGAAGACGCCATCTTTGGACCCCCATCAGAACCAACAGCAACAGCTTGTGCAGACAACAGCCAACGAACTGGACAGAATGAGAAAGGTGAAGGGCTGGACAGAGCCGGCAGCAGGGAACTGCAGGAGAGGGGGCTGGGGGCTCTGGCCTCTTAGCCTTGCTGGCTTTGTTTCCGCTGATGGAGAGAGGTGCTTAGACCACATTCTCCCTTTGCTAGGAGGTGCTGGATACCTCCAGGGCCCTAGTGGGCCGATTAACCACCCTGGTCGACCTGTTGCTGCCAAAATTGGATGAGTGGAAGATGCAGCAGCAGAAATCCTGCATTGGAGCCCCAGCACCGGAGCTGCAGCTGGAACAGCTGGAGCAGTGGTAAGAGGAAGAGATATTTCTTTCCCATCCTCATGCACACGCCAGGCCCAGCCTCACGGAGCTTCGCATGCTGTGAGGTCTAGGGACAGCAAGTGAAGGGCTGGGCGGAGGGAGCGCGGAGGAAGAGCGCTTCTCCACTTCTCGGGCACGCACAAGGTCTTGGGTTTGATTGTCAGCACAGAGGGAGAACGGAAGGGTGGGAAGGGGAAGGAAGAAGTGCAGCAAGTGATGCCGTGGCCTCGTCTGCCACGTTTTCTTGTTTGACCGTGGTCACACTCTGCTTGTTGTCTTCCCAACTCAGGGAACCTCAGAGTCCAATCTTCGCTCTGGTAAAGAAATAACGTAGAGTAATGAATTCATCCACAGTCATGATTTCTCCACCCTTTGCTTTGTTTGGTTTGCTTTTGAGACAGGGTCTCACTATGTAGCGCTGGGTAGCCTGGAACTCGCTGCGTTGACCAGGCTGGCTTTGAACTGACCAGTTCTCCAGCCTCTGCTTCCCTAGTGTGGGGACTGAAAGCAGGGGTTACCATACTTGTTTAATAAAATAAATCTTTAAGAAAAGAAACCTGGACTAGAGAGATGGCTCTACAGTTGAGAGTGGCTGTTCTTCCAGAGGTCATGAGTTCAGTTCTCGGTAACCACGTGGTGGCTCAGAGCCATCTATAATGAGGTCTAGTGCCCTCTTCTGGCGTGCAGGCATGCACGCAGGCAGAACCCTATATGCATAATAAATAAATCTTTAAAAAAGAAATGAAAAAACCCTGCCTCGAAAAACCTAAATAATAATAATAGTAATTATTATTATGATGATGATGATAATAAAATAAAATAAATGAACACTTGGGAGGCAGAGGCAGGTGGATCTCTGTGAGTTCTAGACCAGCCTGATCTAGAGAGTGAATACCAGGACATCCAGGGCTACACAGAGAAACCCTGTCTCAAAAACAATCTCCTCCCCCCAAAAAAGAAAGAAAAGAAATGGAGCTGGGCGGTGGTGATGCACACCTTTTAACCTTTATCCCAGCCCTCGGTGGGCAGGAGGCAGACTTCTATGAGTTCAGGGCCGATAGAGCAAGTTCCAGTACAGCCAGGACTGTTTCACAGAGAAACCCTGTCTCACAAAAACAACAACGACAAAATTGTGTTGAATATTCTACCATGTGCTTCCTGGATTCTGTTTGTGACAGGGTCTCCGGTTTCCTAGGCAGGCCTTGAACTTGCTATATAGCTGAAGATGAGTTTCGGATCTGGCCTCTGCCTCCTCAGTGTTGGGATTTCCAGCGTGTGATGCTATACCCAGTTTATACAGTGCTGGGGATCAAACCTAGGACTTTGTGCTTTTTCTGCCAAACAAGCAGCATCATTAACCCCTTGTATTTTGTCAGTTTTTTGAGGCAGGATCACATTGAGTTCTTGACCCTCCTGCTTCAGCCTTGAGAGTGTGGGAGCGGAGGGGCGCAGTGCACACCTGGCTCTGTTTCCAGTTTCCATGTCATTAAAGGGAGGGCCCCGTAAAACTACACATCCTCTCTCCCCGTCCTCTGCCACCCAGGATGACGTCTGGAGCAAAACTCTTGTTCCACCTCCGGCTGCTGCTGAGACAGTTAAAGGAAATGAGTTACATGCTGAAGTACGAGGGTGACATGTTTAGCCAAGGGGTGGACCTGCAGAATGCCCAAGTCACGGAGTTACTACAGCGCCTGCTCCAAAGGTCTGGCCGCCTGGGAGGACTCTCCAGTGGGAGAAACAAGGAAGAAACACGGGGGTACGATTGCTGCAGAACTGAGCTGTTACCTTCTCTGCACACCTCTTTCCTCAGGTCCTTCGTGGTGGAAACCCAGCCCTGCATGCCCCAAACTCTCCACCGACCCCTCGTCCTGAAGACTGGGAGCAAGTTCACTGTCCGAACAAGGTTGTATTTTTTTTTTTTTACCTCTGCCTCCTCCCCGGCTCTGCCTTTCTGACTTTGCAGAAGCTCCTGCTGCTGGAAGTTTCTTCTCTCCTCCAGTTCACCTTCCGCTTCCTGTCCCCTGGCCCTCTCTTCTACACATCTGGCTTTATCAAGAATTTGAGAGCCAGGTGTGGGGGTGCACGTCTTTAATTCCAGCATTTGAGGGACAGAGCCAGGTGGATCTCTGTGAGCTTGAGGCCAACCTGGTCTACAGCACTAGTTCCAGGACAACCAGGACTACACAGAGAAACCCTGTCTTGAAAAACAAAACAGCAACAAATTTGAGATTGACCACTGTGTCCGTCTCCTGTCCCCCTAGTTTGACACTGACCACTGTGTCCGTCTCCTGTCCCCCTAGTTTGACACTGACCACTGTGTCCGTCTCCTGTCCCCCTAGTTTGACACTGACCACTGTGTCCGTCTCCTGTCCCCCTAGTTTGACACTGACCACTGTGTCCGTCTCCTGTCCCCCTAGATTGCTGGTAAGACTCCAGGAGGGCAACGAGTCCCTCAAAGCAGAAGTCTCCATTGACAGGTAAGTTGAGGCAGCCGAAGGATGTGACTGAGCTGGCCAGCAGGAGCAGCCGGTACCAGTGGTACTCACCGCACAGCCGGCCCCTCAGGCTGTCCATGCCATTCTACCTTACAGAAGTAAAAACACCTCCCTCAAGCCGGACATGGTGATGCACCCCTTTAATCCCAGCACTCAGGAGGCAGAGGCAGGCAAATCTCTTGAGTTCAAGGATATCCTGGTCTACAGAGTGAGTTCCAGGACAGCCAGGGCTACACAGAGAAACCGTCTCAAAAAACAAAACTAAACTAAAAACAAACAAAAAAACCAACAACCCCCCCCAAAAAAAAAAACCCTAAACAACAACAAAATGCCGACCTCCCCCTCACGGAGCTCACGCTTGGTGCTTTGCAGCAGGCCTCGGGCTCATTTCATTGTATAACTCCACCAGGTGGGTGTTAGCAGTGTGTCGGACACACAAGGACGTGAACTCAGACAGTGTCTCTTTGCCAGGCCACGTGGCCAGTGAGCTCCAGAGGCTGTCGCTCGCGTGGAGCTGGGTGGGAAGGGCTGCTTCCAGGACATCTCACCCTTCCGCTCTTCCCCCACAGAACCAGTGACTTTTTTTCCCTTTCTTTTCAGGAATTCAGAGTTATCGGGGTAGGTACATGCTTGCATGACCTGCAAACCACATTGGCAATCCTGGTGGGAGCCCAAGGGAGGAAGGGGATGTGGGTGGGATGAGGACTAGGAGAAGGGGGAGTCTGAAATGAACTGGAATTTTTATTTTCCTGCTATTTTATATTTTTTATTTTAATTTTTAAACATTTTACCTACAGAAAGGGTGTGAGTGTGTGTATATACATATGCATGATCAAGAGAGAAAAATATGGAAATGCGTGTAGGTCAGAGGACAGCTGGTGGGATCTGTCCTTTCCTTCCACCATGTGGGTCCTGGGAATCAAACTCAGGTCATCAGGCTTGGCAACAAGCCTCTGTACCTGCTGAGTCATCTCACTGGCCCTTTCCTGCTGGTTCTTAAAACTAATTCCAAGCATGGAATGGTGGAACACAACTAAAAATTCCAGTACCTGGGAGGCTGGGGCAAGAGGATCTCTGAAAATGCAATGCCAGCCTGGGCTACATAGTGAAACCTTATCACAGAGAGTGAGAAACAGACAGACAGACAGACGACACTAACCTTACTCTGACTCCATATATCTTTTCCCTGGAATAGCTTCCGGAAGTTCAACATTCTGACCTCAAACCAAAAAACCTTGACCCCTGAGGAGGGCCAGAGACAAGGCTTAATTTGGGACTTCGGCTTCTTGGTAAGAATGGTTAATAGAATTGTCAGCTAATCCAAAGGAGCAGGAGTTAGGGTCTTTCCAGGCTCGGCCTCCGGGTCCCTCCCTGTCAGTGTGTTTCTCCTCCATTTACAGACACTGGTGGAGCAGCGTTCAGGTTCAGGAAAGGGTAACAATAAGGTGAGTGGGGACTCAGCAGAGCTGCGAGCTGGGACCAGTGACTCAGCAGAGGGCCCTCTGACCACTGTGACTCTCCAGGGGCCGCTGGCTGTGACGGAGGAGTTACACATCATCAACTTCGTGGTGCAATATGTATACCAGGGTCTGAAGATGGAGCTGCAGGTGAGTGAGTTAAAGCAGGCAGCAGGTGTAGAATAGTTAGGGCCATGCTGGCGCACGCCTCTAATCCCAACACTGGGGAGGCAGAGGCGGGCGGGTCTCTGAGAGTTCGACACTGATCTACAGAGTGAGTTTCAGGGCAGCCAGAGCTGCATAGAGAAACCCTGTCTGGAAAAACCAAAACCAAACAAACAGAAAAACAATTTAGAAGAAGACACACAGAGGGCACAAACAGAAGAGACCTGGAGTGGGATGTCACCCAGGCCCCGAGGCAGACTTCTGCCACCACCTTGACTGCTGAGTTCTTCCAGACGGACACACTTCCTGTTGTGGTCATTTCCAACATGAACCAGCTCTCCATTGCTTGGGCCTCAGTTCTCTGGTTCAACATGCTCAGCTCAAACCCCCAGGTAGGAACAGGAGGTGCCTGGGTGAGGAGAAGAGGGGCGTGGGGGGTGGGGGAAGGCCTGCTTCTGAACTGGCTCACCTCCCTCTTCTCCCCCAGAACCTCCAGTTCTTCTGCCAGCCCCCAAAAGCCCCCTGGAGCTTGCTGGAGCCTGTCCTCAGCTGGCAGTTCTCCTCCTACATTGGCCGAGGCCTCGGTTCTGAGCAGCTGAGCATGCTGAGGAACAAGCTATTCGGTACAGTTCTCTTGTCTCTCAGCCTCTGCCTACCCTGGCCTGCTCCTACTCTGTGTCCTACCCCAGGCCCTTGGCCCGGCCCTGAGGCCTCTTCAATCACCCCACAGGAAAGAACTGCAAGGTGGAGGAGGCACTGTTGTCCTGGGTGGACTTCAGTAAGGTAACTCCCTGCAGCCGGTCCCTCTGTCCCCAGTTCAAATCCTGGCCCTGCCCCCACCCTTCCCTCTAAGGGCAGCTCCACATCTCTTCCTGCCTTTCCATTCCTCCTTCAGCGAGAGAGCCCCCCTGGCAAGATCCCTTTCTGGATATGGCTGGACAAAATTCTGGACCTGGTCCATGACCACCTGAAGGGTCTCTGGAATGACGGGTAAGGCCTTTCGCAGAAAGCCTCCCTGTCCCGTGTTTGCGCCCACTGGTCTCAGGCGTAGACTTCGTGAGCCCCCCTGTGACACAAGGGAGAAACTACAAACTAATGGAAAGTCTGGTTAGAAATAGGAATGGTGGCCCTTACTTGTCCAGTGTCTTTGCAGAGCCTGCTGGGTGCGCTCGTGAATTTGTTCATATAGTCCTTAAAACCGCGATGGATGGTGGATAGTTCCACCTTCAGTCCCATGAGGAAACCCAGTCTTGGAGAAATGAGGAATTTGTTCAAGGACAGAGTTGGGAATGGCCCAGGCCTATGCAACTGCCCATCACCTGGCCTTTGTTACTTCTTACACACAGAGACGGACAGGCAGGCAGGCAGAGAGGGTCTCTCTGTTATGTAGCTCTGGATGGCTGTCCTGGAACTGGCTGTGTAGACCACGTTGGCCTTGAACTCACAGATCCACCTGCCTCTGCCTCCCAAGAGCTGGCATTAAAGACATTGGATTCCGTGGCCTGCCTTGCTATATTTTTATGTAGTGTGTGTGTGTGTGTGTGTGTGTGTGTGTTGCCAGGGGATAGCTTACAGGAGTGGGTTCTCTCCTTCCACCATGTGGGTCCTACAGATTGAACCCGGGTGGTCAGGCTCGGTGGCAGCTACCTGTAGCTGCTGAGGCGCCTTGTGCTTCACCAATGTCCAACTGAATCCTCGCGCCTCTTCAAACCTTGGGGGCAGGAGCATTGTCACTAAAGTTTCGTGATTTGATCAAGATGGAAAAGTGTGTAAGCAACAGAAACGGGGCCAAAGCCCCCGCTTCCATGTAGATGGGACCGGGACCCGGGGATCTATCACATCGTGGCTTCGTCTGCTCCAGGCGCATCATGGGCTTTGTGAGCCGGAGCCAGGAACGCCGGCTGCTGAAGAAGATGGTCTCCGGCACCTTCCTGCTGCGCTTCAGCGAAACTACCGAAGGCGGCATCACTTGCTCGTGGGTGGAACACCAGGATGATGGTCGGTCCCATCCCGTCCCCCTCACCCTGCCCACACCCCTCACCCCGGCCATTCCCGCGGTCTCTGCTTTCTGGGGGCGTTACTTGCTCTTGGGTGGAACACCAGGGTGATGGTCGGTCCCGGCTCCCCCCCACCCCGCACCCTCACCCTCACACCGCCCTCCTTTGCCGTTCCTACAGTCTCTGCTTTCTGCCAGGCACCCCACCCCGCCAATCCCTTCTGACCCTTTGCCTACCCTTGGTTTCTGCCTGGATCCGTGCAGTAACTTTGGTGCTGGGCAGCTAGGGACGGGGAACTTGGGGACTGGTCTCACCTCTTGAGCCCACTTGTTCGGCACCTGTCTGTCCTTCAGATAAAGTGGTCATCTACTCCGTGCAGCCCTACACCAAGGAAGTGCTGCAGTCACTCCCGCTGACAGAAATCATCCGCCACTACCAGGTTCTTGCGGACGAGAACATCCCTGAGAACCCGCTGCAATTCCTCTATCCCAGAATCCCTCGGGACGAAGCTTTTGGGTGCTACTACCAGGAAAAAGGTGGGAAAAGGGTTGGGATCACTGACATACATCCTTCCTCGAATGAAAGGGGTCTCAGATATTGGCAGATCCTTCCGCACACAGCACGTTTGCCCGTGGTCGTGCTCTAGGGAGGTCCAGTCAGGACCTGTGTGTCCAACACATTGATCTCTCCCACCTCCTGTCTGTCCCCACAGTTGATTTTGAAGAACGGAGGAAATATCTGAAGCACAGGCTCATCGTCATCTCTAACAGGTGAGGTACAAAGGCTTCTCTCAAACCTCTGCAGCCTGCAGCTGCCCAGTTCCGCTCCCTCCGCCTCCTCGCCTCCTCGCCCTGCAGACCCCCCACTCGCCAGCTTCGCTCCTCTCTCTCATGGTTTCCTGCCATCTCCAGATCAGTTCCCCCATAGTCATGATCGCAACCACTCATGGCACCCCTACTGGTGCCAGGCCCAGGATGGGATGCTCCGGAGACTTTTGTTGTTTAACCCTTATGAGGCCCCACTGGAGTAAGAGCTAAGAGTGTGTCATTTCTGGGAACTGGGCTAAGTGTTTTTGTGTGTTTTCTTATGCTGTTGACTCTTCCCATTCCGCCCTTGAGGGGTGCTGGTATTTCAGGGTAGTGAAGCAGCATTCTGAGCGAGTCAGGTCTGTCAGAGCCTTCTTTCCTTTGCTGATTGACCAACTCTTGGCTTGTTTGTTGTTGCTGTTGTTGTTGTTGTTGTTTAAGACAAAATGCTGCTGGCCTGGAATCTGCTGTGTAGACCAGGCTGGCCTTGAACTCTCAGAGATCCTCCCAGGTGCAGGGTTAAAGGCATGAGCTACTGTGCCTGGCTTTTTTTTTTCTTCTTCTTTAGTTTATAGCTGGCATATAGTATTTGTATGTATTTACGGGGTACAGTGTGATAATTTGATAGATGCCTATATTATATTAACCAACTCGGGATAATTGGCATTTATTATTTTGTTTTATATGTGTGGGTGTTTGGCCTGCAGGTATGTCTGTGTACCGCTTTTGTGTCTGTTGCCTGTGGAGGCCAGAAGACAGTGTCAGACCCCCTGGCACCGGGGTTGCAGTGGTTGGGAGCTGCCATGTGGCGCTGGCAATCAAACCGAGGACCTCTGCAAGAGCAGTAATATGCTCTTAACCACGGAGCCATCTTTCTAGCCCTTCCCCTTTGTTTGAGGCAAGGTCTCATGTAGCTGAGGCTGGTCTTGAACTCCTGACCACTCTGCCTCTGCTTTCCAAGTGCTGGGATTACATCCCCCATTTCTATTTTGCGTCTTTTGTTTGTTTGTTTGGGTGGTTAGTCGATTGGTTGATTATCTGGTTGTTTTCTGAGATAGGATCACACTCTGTTGCCCAGGCCTGTCAGAAGCTCATTATGAAGTCCATTCTGGCCTTGAACATGTAACCCTCTTCCTGCCCTGGCCTCCTGAGTGCTGGGGTTTTTATAGGTATAAGCAGTCCCACCTGGCACTTTGGATTCTCTCAATTAGCTACTCTAGCAACGAGATGCGATCCCACTGATTTGATTGGCATTTTCTTGGTGATTAAACACTTTTCCACGTACGTCGCCGTTTGCATATCTTTTTTTTTTTTTTTTGAGAAATGTCTACGCAGATCTTCAGCCCAAGCCAGGTGTGCCTACAGTCCCAGCACATGGGAGAATGAGACAGGATCGAGCACCAGTCTAGATAACATGATGAGACCCTGTCTTAGAGAAAAAGAATACACCTTTGTGAGATCATTTGCTTTTTAAGGATATGTTCATTTTTACTTACGTGTGTGAGTGTCTTGCCTACATGCCTGCCTGCGCATCATATGTGTTCCCTGCTCTCAGAGGCCCAAAGAGGAGACATCAGGTCCCCTGGAGCTGAAGTGACAGCCTCCGTGCGGTTGCTGGAACCCGAACCTCAGTTCTCTGCAAGAGCAAATGCTCTTAACCACTGAGCCACCTCTCCAGTCCCTTCCCTGCTTTTTTCCTCTTGAGTTTTTTTGTTCCCTGTAGCTCCTGGATACGAACTTCTTCTTGATGAATAGTGTGTAAGCGATATTTCCTACTCTGTGCGCCGTCTGCTAACTCTGCTGGTGGCTGCTTTTGCTGTGGGCATTCTTAGTTAGGTTTAATTGCCTCTGGTCTGTTTTTGCTTTTGTTTTATGTGCTTTCAGGGCCGCATTATTGTCTCTACCAGTGTTTCAAGGTTTTTCTTTTCCTTTTAAGATTCATTCTATTTTTAATCATATATACGTCTGTGGGGGTGGCGTGCAGAGAGGGTTTCCCATCCCTCGGATCTGGACTTAGAGGCCGTTGTGAGTTGTGGGAATTGAACTCAGGTCCTCTGCAGGAACAGTACTCTCTCTTAACCACTGAGCCATCTCTCCAGCCCTGAGGTTTTTCTTTTATATAATGTTATAATTTCAAGTTTTGTATTTAGGTCTTTGATCTCTTTTGTGTTGATTTTTTTTTTTTTTTTAGTTTTTCGAGACAGGGTTTCTTTGTAGCTTTGGAGCCTGTCCTGGCACTAGCTCTTGTAGACCAGGCTGGCCTCGAACTCACAGAGATCCGCCTGCCTCTGCCTCCCGATTAAAGGCGTGCATCACCACTGCCTGGCTTTTTTTTGTTTTGTTTTGTTTTTGTTTTTTTTTTTGAGACAGGGTCTCACCACACAGCCTTGGCTTGCCAGGCTGATCTTAAATGCACAAAGATCTGCCCACTCCTGCTTCCTGTGTGCTGAGATTACCACCATGCCCTGCTTAAGATTTATCATTTTTAATTGTGTATATGTGTGCGTGTGGGTGTATACACATGAGTGTGGGTGCCTGTGGAGGCTGAAGTCCCCCACTCTGGAAGGCCAAAGTCCTGGACTTGGGCACAGGCAGCCGTGACCCACCTTACCTGGGTGCTGGGACCTGAACTTGGGACTCTACACTCCCGCTGTCACTGGGACAGTCTCTTGGCCGTGTCCACTCTTAACTGCTGGGCTTTCCTCGATCCCCCGTGTTGGTTTTTAGATTGCGTTTATTTTTTTATATGTGTATGTATGTGTGCACATGTGCATGCCACAACACATGTGTAGAGGTCTTTGGACAATTTGCAAGAGTTGATTCCCTCTTTCTAACATGTGTGGCTCACAGATTGAACTCCGGCGTTAAGTTTGATGGTAGACACCTTTACCTGCTGAGCCATCTTGCCGGCTCCATGGTTTTTGTATGTGGTGGAAGATTCAAATCTAGATTCATTCTTTTGCAGATGGATGTCCAGCTTATTGAAAAGACTGCGCTTTCTCTCACTATATATTTTTATCATCTTTGTAAAATTAGTTGGCTCTAGGTGTATGAATTTATTTCTGGGTCTATATTCTGTTTCATTGGCCCATATATCTGACTTTATGTTGGTAAAATTCTGTTTGGTTACTATAATCTTAGTATTATTTTATTATGTTAATTGTCTTTGAATCTCATGCACCTCAGATACACTATATAGCTGTAGCTGGCTTTGAACCCCTGATTCTCCTGCCTTTCCCTCTCAAGGGCTGGAATTTCAGTTGTGTGTCACCATACCCCAATCTCCAGTTGTTCTACAATTAGGGGTCTTTTTTTGAGGTTTTTGTTTCATTTGTTTGTTTTTGGTTTTTGGTTTTTCGAGACAGGATTTCCCTGTGTAACAGTCCTAGCTGTCCTGAAACTAGCTCTTGTAGACCAGGCTGGCCTCACATTCACAGGGATTCACCTGCCTCTGCCTCTGCCTCTCTCTGCTGGGATTAAAGGCGTGCACCACCACCGCCCGGCTAATTAGGGGTCTTTTGAGAGTGCATATAAAGTTTGTTTCTTCTATTTCTGGGAAGAGTGCCATTTGGTAGAAATTGCATTAAATTGTAAATCATTTCAAGTGACATCCAGAATTCTTCTTTTGACCATCCTGTTGCCTCTGTTGAGTTTTTAAGCACCATCATTCCCGTTTAAGTGAAGGTCTGAGCCTAGAGAGATGGTTCAGCAGTTAAGAACAGTTGATTGCTCTTGCCAAGGACCTGGGCTCAGTCCCCAGTGCCCACTTGGTGGCGCACAGGCATTCATAATTCCGGTTCCAGGGGATCAGATGCACTCTTCTGGCCTCCACACATACCAGGCATGCTTGTGGTGCACATACAGACATACACACGGGCAGACATACACACGGCAGACATACATGCGGGCATACATACACATGGGCAGAATGCTTGTGCGTGCACAGAAAATAAAAATAAAGTTTAAAAGCTGGAAATGATAATCTGATGTTTATCCAACTAGTAAATGAGAGAATTCACTCTAACAAACCTGGTCTCAAGGTCAGATGTGTAGTACATGCCTATGACCCCAGCCCTTGGAGTAGAGGGTAGGAGGTCTAGCCTTGACTATGTAGCAATTTGAAGGCCAACCTGGGCGACGTGAGACCCTGTCTCAAGAAAAGAACAATAACAAAAATCCTAAAATCTTGATGATAAAGCCCAGGGTCTTTAGCCCTTTTGTTCTCCCACCTCACCCCCCAGGCAGGGGGTCTCATTCTGTAGACCAGACTAGGCTCAAAGTCACAGAGATCCACCTGCCTCCACCTCCTGAGCGCCGGATTTAAGGTGTGCACAAGCCTGCATAGCTCCCTGCCATCTTCTTAGACTGGAAACACTTTTGCTTTGCTACTCACAGAGTCTCGTCCCACTGTCTGTCCTTGTAAACCTAGACAGGCGGACGAGCTGCAGCAACCTCCGGAGCTTCAACAGGAGCCAGAACTGGAGCCATTAGAGCTAAATGCAACCATGGCAACCATGGAGTTAGAACAAGACCTGGAGTTACCGATGCTGCTGGAGACAGGGCTGGAACTAAACCCCACACCGTGTGTGACCCCAGCGCCAAGTCTGGAGACAGACCCAAGACTCTTTCCGGAGTCGGATTTACCTCATGATCTGCAGCAGCTGAACATGGAGGAGATGGAAAGTAAGTGATCCGGCTGGGCTGGGGAAAAGGGGATACCTTGCTCTCTGACCCGTTACCAAAAGGTGAGCTCCAAGTCCTCCTGTGTCCGGCCCCCTTCTCCCATTTCCCAGGAGCCCCTTCAGCCCCAGAGTGTGCCTTTCCTGCTAGAGTCGGGAGCTTCTAACTTGGGTCAGGGCCTGACATTTTTGTCTGTGTGGTCTAGTCTTCAGAAACAGCATAGACATTCGTAATATCATGCCCCACGGGGACCCACTGTTGGCTGGCCAGAACATCGCAGACGAAGCCTACATGTCCTGCCAAAGCCATTTTCATGTGGATGGACCCTTGATTCCTTCTGATGACTAGGAGCCACGTTCCCGTTTTGCCCCCCACCTCGCATGCACCAGGACGTTGCTTCCAACAGTGGCAAATGAGGCCTTCGAAGCTGCATTAGCCATGAACTTTGGAGTAGGAGGGAAAAGCATAAGATGGCTTGGAAGCCGTGCCAAGGAGTCAGAAGAGACACTGGCTGTAGTCGTACTAGGATCCGAAGGCTGCCTGCCACGCTGGAAGACCCGGGGGTCCTGAGGAAGGGCATGCCAATAGGGTTCCTCCTACAGCGTCTGCCCGGCGGCGGCGCAGTCCTCCCCTCCACAGTAACCCTGAGACTCTTCCGAAGACGTCAAGCTGTGCTGCTTTAGCAGCCTTACCTCTGCTTCCCCAGCTCTGGGGGGCGTCCCTCCTAGAGGTCTGGAAGGCAAGGTGTCCGAGCGCTGGGATTGCTTTTCATGGTGTTCAGTAGGACTGTTTGACAGGAAGTGCCGCAGCTGGGCTGTGCTAATAAGTTGTCACTGCTTCTTCTGTACATTGTTAACTTGAAAGCACAGCTCCGTCCCTTAGGTGTGGCCTGCCTGGGCAAGGACCTCAGAGGCTTCTGGACATCCTTAAGCCTCAGCCATTGCCAGGGAGCCCGGGAGCAGCTGCCACTACTCTAAGGTCGGCTTGTGATAGGACTTGGTTAATGAACCTGAGGGAGGCATACTGTGACCGTTGCTACCCGGGGTGTCAGAAGAGCAGTCCTGTTGAGGGAGGGTGCCATGAAGGGGACTTGAACAAAGCCAAGGGACTAGACGTGGAAGATGTACAGAGGAACAAGGAAACTCAGGGAGCTAAAAGCAGAAGTCATGAGAAAAAGGCCCTGGCTGACAGGTGAAGTTAAGATTCCAGCAGAAGCTGGGCTGGGTGGCGCACGCCTTTAATCCTAGCACTCCAGAGGCAGAGAGGCTGGTGGATCTGATCTATGTGAATTCAAGGCCAGATGGTCTACAAAGTGAGTTCTGGGATAGCCAGGGCTACACAGAAAAAGCCTGTCTCAAAAACCTAAAACACACAGACACAGAAAAAAAAAAAAGAAAGAAAGAAACCCGGCAAAGCCAGGCAGGGTCATATATGCCTTTAATCCCTGCACTCAGGAGGAAGGCAGATATTTTTGGATTTTGAGACACACACACACACACACACACACAGAAAAGAAAGAAACCTGGCAAAGCCAGGCAGGGTGGTATATGCCTTTAATCCCTGTACTCAGGAGGAAGGCAGATGTTTCTGCGTTTTGAGGCAGCCAGGGTGACATAGTGGGACCCAGTGAGAGAGATGGTGGCAAGGCTGCATTCCTTACTTTGTAAGTGCCTGGGTTCCCTGCTGCAGCATCCTTCACCGTGCTACCTATAGCCAGAATGAGTCTTTTGTACGTCATAATAAACTCTTGTTAAAAACAAAAACAGTGGGAGTGTCTCTTTACAATTGCTTGTGTTTCTCTGTCCCCGAAAGCTAATTCCTTAGGGCCAGCAAGGCCAGCCATGTGTAGGCGTTAGGTCATCAAACCCTCTCTCGTCCCTACCACGGTGCATTTCCCTTGTCACAGCCCTCCTTTCCTCTGGTTGGTGCAGCCATTTATGTCCCTCAGACGGATAGCTTCAGTGTTACTCAGCTAGTTAGCAAAGTCAAGACATAAACCTGGATCTGGTCATGCCTGGTGACAAACACCCATTATCCCAGCATTTGGGAGCTACAGGCAGGATCAGGAGTTCAAGGCTCAGCCGAGGGTATGCGTTGAGTTCCAGGACAGTCTCAGCTGCAAGAGTCCGTGGCTCTAAAATAAACAGGGATCGGACTCTACGCCCCCGCACACCTCCCTTAATCTTGTTTGTTTGTTTTGCAGCTGGAAGGGGCTGTAGCCTTGGATGCCCTGGAGCTCACAGTAAGACTCTTCAGTGGGGCAGGTGGGTGGGGATTTTGTAGACAGGATTTCACTAAGTACGGCAGGCTGACGATAGGGTCATGATCTGCCTGCCTCTGACACTGGAGTGCTGGGGCGGGACACAGGTGAATCTCATTGGCAAAGTGTACGTCCTTTGGTGTCCATGGAAAAGGGCATAAGCAGGATGTTGTTGCGAACACCTGTAATCCTTGGGAGAATGAGGCAGGAGGATCCCCACGAGTCTGAGACCAGCCTGGTCTATATATTATCCAGGATTACTTAATGAGACCCTGTTTAAAAGAAAAAAAAAATCACCATCTCCTTTCCCTTTTTATTTGTTGAGACTGTGATATAATTCTATCATTCCCCCTTCTCTTTCTTCCCTCTCAACCCTCCCATGTGCCCCTTCCTTGCCCCCTTTCAAATCCAGGACTTATTTTTTTTCCACTAACCTCCCACCTCTTTAATATTCCACCCTTTGTTTTTCTTTTCTTTGTTGTTTTGCTTTGAGACAAAGTCTCACTATGTAGCTCTGGCTGTCCTGGAACTCACAGAGATCCTCCTGCCTCTGCCTCCAGAGTGCTGGGATTAAAGGCGTGCGCCACCATCGCCCGGCTTCTTGTTCTTCTTTTTGTTTGAAGCTAAAGTTTTTAACTTGGGTGCTAGACTCTTCCTTCGGAAGGAGTCTACAGATATCCTTAAGGGAGAATCACATTGCCTTGGGAGTTGCCTTCATCTTCCTTAACTGGTCATCCCGCTCAAAACTGAAGTTGAAGGCTAGGGCTATTGCTCAGTGGTAGAGCACTTGCCTGGCTTACCCATGCCCTTGAGTTCAATACCCAACGCTAGGATAAAACACAATTCTGGCATGACTCTGGTGATCTGAGTCCCTGCCTTTGGCCAAATACACCCTTGGCCACAAAATCAGGGAAGAAAGCAGTGTATCAGGGAAGTCAAGGAAGGAGGCCTGCCACAAGCAGAAAACCTGTCCGGACTGTCTGAGAAGTCAAACCAAAACGTTGCCAGGCTTGGTAGTACACCTGTAATCCCAGCACTTGGAAGGCAGAGGCAGGAGGATTGCTCTGAATTTGGCATCATTCTGGTCGATATATCAAGGAGTTCCAGGCCAACCAGGACTACATAGCAATACCCAATCAAAAACAAACACCAAAAATTCAGACCAGGTGTGACAGTTCACAGCACTGAGGCAGGAACTGCCGTCATTCCAGACAGGCTGGTGTGAAAAACCCTGTTTTAAAATGGAAGGCAGGAGGGGCTGGAGAGATGGCTCAGCGGTTAAGAACACTGACTGCTCTTCCAGAGGACCCGGGTTCAATTCCCAGCACCCACATTGCAGCTCACAACTGTCTGAAGATCCAGTTGCAGGGGATCTGACACCTTCACACCAATGCACATAAAATAAAGTTAAAAAAAAATGGAAGGCAGGAGAGTTGGGGAGATAGTTTGGTAGGTAGAGCCTTTGCCAGGTAAGTGTGAAGACCAGGGTATGGAACTTCAACACCTATATAATTAATGAGTGAGCAGTGATCCTCACCTGTAATCCCAGCACTTGGGAGGCAGAGATAGGAACCTCAAGGCAACAAATTCTGCAGGAGTGGAACTGAACAGAGAGGGCCTGAGGAAACAAGCTCCATCAGGAGTAAAAGCCAGGAGCAAACCCAGTCCTGGGAGCAAACCCAGTCCTGGAACACTGGTGGATCAAGACTGAGCCAGCGACCAGATCCAGAGTCAGTGATCTCCACCAGAACAGGTCCAACTCCAAGCCAGGGACTTCTGCAGGAGGAGATCCAGACCAGGATTTACAGAAACAGATCAAAGCCAGCAGCCTAGGCCAAAGTAGGCCTGAGGCAGCAAACTCTGAGGGAGCAGAGCAAAGCACAGGAGCACTGAGCTACCTTCAGGAACAAGGAGTAACCAATGGGTTAACTAGAACTGTGGCACTGCCTGTACCATGAGGAACAAACATCTGAGCTTTGGATTCACAGGCACCTACAAGATTATTCAACAGAATCTCAGACAGCCCCAACCACACCTATTAGAGGAAAAGATGAGTAGAAAAGGTAAGATCACATGCTACACCACAAAGAGCAAAACAACACCAGTAAAACCGAAAGACCCTACAAGCAGACCTGAACAACCAAATATGAATGAGCCAGAAGAAAATGATCTAAAAAATAAACTCAAGAGAATGTTTGAAATTTTTAAAAATGAAATGAGCAATTTCCTTAAAGAAATGGAGGAAAAAGCAAACAAAAAATTGGAAGATATCAGCAAATCACTTAAAGGAAACCAAAAAAAGAAATCAAACATAGGCTGGGTGGTGGTGGCGCACGCCTTTAATCCCAGCACTCAGGAGGCAGAGGCAGGTGGATCTCTGTGAGTTCGAGGCCAGCCTGGTCTACAAGAGCTAGTTCCAGGACAGGCTCCAAAGCCACAAAGAAACCCTGTTTTGAAAAACCAAAAAAAAAAAAAGAAAGAAAAGAAAAGAAAAAAAGAAATCAAACATATAAAAGAAACTATTCAGGACTTCAAAACTGAAATATAAACAATAAAGAAAACACAAGCTGAAGGAATTATAGAAACAGAAATCATGAAAAAAAAGATCAGGAACCACAAATACAAGCATGAACAGCAGAATACAAGAAATAGAAGAGAGAATCTCAAGCGCTGGAGATACAATAGAAGAAACAGACTGATCAGTTAAAGAAAACATTAAATCTAACAAAAGCTTAACCCAAAATATCCATGAATATGGGACACCATGAAAAGGCCAAATCTTAGAATAATAGGTATAGAAGAAGAAGAAGAAATTCAACTCAAAGGCACAGAAAATTTATTTAACAAAATCATAGAAGAAAACTTTCCCTACCTAAAGATAGATATGCCTACCTAAAGATAGATATGAAGATACAAGAAGCTTACAGAACACCAAATAGACTGGATCAAAAAAAAAAGTCCTTTTGCCACATAATAATCAAAACACTAAACATACAGAGTAAAGAAAGAATATTAAGAGCTGCAAAGGAAAAAGGCCAAGTAACATATAAAGGTAAACCTATCAGAATTACACCTGACTTCTCATTGGAGACAATGAAATCCAGAAGGTCATGGTCAAGCATTATGCAGACATTAAGAGACCACAGATGCCAGCCCAGACTATTATACCTAGCAAAACTGTTGATCACCATAGAAGGACAAAACAAGCTATTCCATGACAAATCTAGATTTCACCAATACCTAGCCACAAACCCAGCCCTACACAAAATACTAGAAGGAAAACGCCAACCCAACACCAACAAAAACACAGACAATTGATGATCTCATTACAGCAAATCCAGAAGAAGAAAAAAATGCACAAATTAACATCGCCAACGATGAAAACTAAATTAACAGGAGATAGCAATCACTAGTCCTTAACATCCCTTAATGTAAATGGACTCAACTCACCCATAAAAAGGCACAGACTAACAGATTGGACATGAAAACAGAATCCATCCTTCTTCTGCATACAAGAAACATATCTCAACCTCAAAGACAGACACAGTCTCAGAGTAAAGGGTTGGGAAAAATATACCAATCAAAGGGACCTAAGAAACAAGTGGGTGTGGCTATCCTAATATCTAACAAAATAGACTTCAAGCTAAAATCAGTCAAAAGAGACAAAGAAGGGGGGCTGGAGAGATGGCTCAGTGGTTAAGAGCACTGACTGCTCTTCCAGAGGCCGAGAGTTCAATTCCCAGCAACCACATGGTGGCTCACAACCATCTGTAATGAGATCTGGCGCCCTCTTCTGGCATGTGGGCATGCATGGAGGCAGAATGTTGTATACATAATAAATAAATAAATCTTATAAAAAAAAAGAGACAAAGAAGGTCATTTCATATTAGTCACAGGAAAAATCTATCAAGAGGAAATTTCAATACTGAACATCTATGCCCCAAATACAAGGGCACCCTCATATGTCAAAGAAACACTTCTAAAGCTTAAATCAGGGGCTGGAGAGATGGCTCAGTGGTTAAGAGCATTGCCTGCTCTTCCAAAGGTCCTGAGTTCAATTCCCAGCAACCACACCGTGGCTCA